CCTTGTGGATTGCAACGCAATGCCTAAGCACTATGCAACCTAGACTGACCAATTGCTGCTTTCTCTCTCTCTCTCTCTCTCTTTTTTTGATAAACCTACGTCCGGAAGAGCCATATGTAAAGAGGAGCTGTTGTACTGCCCTGGGGTTTGTCCTCACATTCGATTCGTGGAATCTGGCAGGTATCCTGCACAAACAGTCCATTTCGTCTGGCGACATGTGCTGTCAGATGATCTCGTTTTGGTGATGTTAACTTTGGTTAATTGCTTAAATTGGTATCTACTAATTTTTTCAATTATAAACCTTTTTTTCCCAAACTCTTGAGCCAATAAGAAATTTGTAGAGAGTTGCTTTTAGACCTGCAAATGTCATATTTCCTTTCAAACATATATTGTTAGAAAGGTTTAATGATTCTTTCCTATATCAGTTATTGATATGATGGTTGAAGGTGATTTTCTAACTATGTAATATATTACATTAGCTTCTATTATAGGAGGAGCTTTTCCACCTTTCCCATTTATTTATCATTGATGTGGGCTTACACATTCTTATTTTAACCATTGGGCTATAGTCCATCCTTGCTATTACTCATTTTCATGTTCAAATTGTCACAGATTTGGCAAGTGAAAGCGGGCTCCTCTTCTTTTGACATGTCCCTGGTCATTTTTATGAGTCATTTTTATATTTTCTGGCATTAAGTATTCCAGGCACATCTTCATATTTTTCCTGACCTCGCTAGCCCTTGAGTCGGTTATCCCTTCTGGTACATATTACTGATACTTAGAAATTGAGCTATGCCACCCCGGTGTCATTTTACCTAGTTTCTCTATTCCCGTCAAAAGCTCTTCTGTGTACATATATACACAATTTTTGTTGTTGTTTTAGGCACGAGTTGAAACTGATAGCAAGATTTTTTCATTGCATTGCCTTATTCTATAGTTGTGTATCTTTTCCTCCCACAGTGAGAACCCTAGGTGTAGACATATCAATATTCTTACTCATTTACTCATTTATCTTTCTTGAAGTACTGTTTTTTTGGGGGGTAGAATAATATTTGTACACCTACTGGTAAGTTCATTTGACAACTATTCAAATTTATGCACCCACTACTGAAGTTTGTCATATAGTCTGGGCAGTTCAATTCAAAGTAGAGGGAAAGGTCAATTCACAAGATAATGTTTTGGGGATTCCAAATAGGTAATTTATCGTTTTCTTGTGATTTGGGTGAAGGCTCATACAGAAAACTGGTTTTCCATTCAGTAATTCACGCACACTTTGATTGGTGACATTGATGACACTGCCCACTAATTCACAACCCCCTCCCCACCTCCTCCCCGTGTTTCCCGTGTCCATTCATCCTCTTCTCTCCTTCCTGCTAGCTGAGCTGTTTCCTGGGCAAGCGCTGCCCTCTCCATTTGTGTGGTTGATTGGTCTACGAAGTGCATGCCTCCCTGGATTCTTGTTCACCTTATAGATGTGTCTATCACGTGACTGAAAGTAGAGCCTGGAGGGTGACCAGTGTCGGGACTGAGGTTGTCTCAGGGCCATCATGTCAAGAGTTTGGCCAGTCAGTATCAGATCTTTCTATTGTGAAGTAGGTAGGGGTAAATATTTCAGATCATCAGGTTTTTTTGTTGTTTTTTTAAATCATTTTATTAAGGGCTCATACAACTCTTATCACAATCCATACACATATCAAATGTGTAAAGCACATTTGTACATTCATTGCCCTCATCATTCTCAAAACATTTTCTCTCCACTTAAACCCCCCGGCATAGGTCCTAATTTTTCCCCTCCCTCCCCGCTCCCCCCTCCCTCATGATCCCTTGGTAGTTTATAAATAGTTATTTTGTCACAGATCATCAGTTTTATATGCAACAACTTAAACTACATATCAGAGCCCCAGTAGGTGACGTGACCCATCCCTGCCTTGGCTTTCCTGCTCCCACTCACAGAAGATTGTCTTCTCCCTCACCCACGTCAACCCCGCCTGGCCTCCAGCCTCTGACTTCGCCCCGTAACAGTCAAAATGCTTCTTTTGGCATTAAACCTATATTTTCCTTTATCCCTTTTGCGGTAGTTAAATATTGTCATATCAACTTGATAAATAAGTGTAGAGGTGGAGTCTAGTCAGTCAGGTTACAGCCTGATAGACCTCCTTGTAGGCATGGCCTTCTCATAAGGATGGCCCTGGGAATGTCTCTCTCGCTCTCTGCCTTTACCTTCCTGCTGGCAAACTTTGCTTAGACATCCCAGAGCACTGTGATGTGGCCACCAGCCTGTGATCTTCCTGTACTGTGCAGTATTCCATGTGGCTGTGTGAGTCTGAAGAGAGATTTATGGACTGATATCAGACTTATGGGCTAATATCAAACCTATGGACTTGATCTAGACTGGGATGCTTTCTTGATATACAATTACTCTTTGATATAAAGCTCTTTAATACACATATCTAAGTGTCTCTGGATTTGTTTCTCTAGTCAACCCAGACTAAAACACCTTTATAACAGTGGTCTCAGACAATATTTGTCCTCTCTTGTGATTGGTTAATTTCTCTCAGAATCATGTTCTCCAGGCCTTCCATGCTGTGAAGTGCTTCATGGTTTCATCCTTGTTTTTTAACAACCCACAGGATTCCGTTGTGTGTGTGTGTCAGAGTTTATTCATCCATTCTTCCACTGATGGGCACGCAACACATTTCCATGTGCTTGCTCTTGTGAACAGTGCTGCTGTGCACATGGGTGTGTATGCGTCTTCTTGCACTATGGCTCTTCCTTTTCCCGCTCACAGGGTGTAAACCCTGTAAAGGGATTGTTGAGCACCTGGAATTTTTCTTCCCAGTATTTTGAAGTAGTTTTGCAATCTCACCAGCAGTGTATGAGGATTCCAATCTCTCCACAAGCTCTCTAGGAGCCATTGTTTTCTGCCCAATGCAGATAATCTTGGTGGATATAATGGAAGGACACAGGACTTTAGTCTAAAGCAGTGGTTCTCAACCTTCCTAATGCCAAGACCCTTTCATACAGTTCCTCATGTGGTGGTGACCCACCCCCAACGACCAACAACCATAAAATTATTTTTTTTGCTACTTCATAACTGTAATTTTGCTACTACTGTTAGGAATCAGGCGACCCCTGTGAAAGGGTCGTTCGACCACCAAAGGGGTCGCGACCCACAGGTTGAAAACTGCTGGTCTAAAGGAACTATAAGAAAATTTCAAACTGCAGTGATGCCAGGAAGGTTGTGCCAAGAATTTTACCCATCACAACACTTATTGCTCAGGCTGTCCCTTGAGAATTTCCCCCACCTTGAAGTCTTTGCCTTTCTTCCTATTGTCCCCCAAACTCAAAGAACATTGAAAGAGAACATGATTTGAGGTCTTTGAGGATGCCCAAACTGCTCTTTTGACAAGGTTTAAATTGAAGAGCGCAAAATTCTTTGAGGAAGACTTAAGTGGAAACCTTCAGAAGTGTGTAGACTTTAAAATAGAGTCTGTGATGCGGAACAAGTGTCGTATTTTGATACTCTAGTTCAATAAAGATGAGTATGATTTTTCAGCTGCCCCCTTGACTCGTGTCTGTGGAGTCATGTTCTCTTCATTCTTACATACACTCTTTTCCCCTTTGCTTTTTTGTTGTTTTCTCACCTTTTCCAATATATTCAAGAAACCATTATATTTGAGTTCATAGAGATTTTCCTCGTTCTTTTAGTCAACAGCTTCATTATGTAGCTGTACTAATTTATCATTCATTCTTTGATGCTTGGGCATTTGACTTGTTTACAGCATCTTAAAATGACAAATAATACAGGAATAGTAGCTTTGTCCATATCTCTCTTTGCGTGGTTGGAGGTACAGCTTGGGAATAAAATTCTAGGTGACGACTCAACCAGTAAATGCACATGTAGTTTGTAGAGAGTGCCAAACTCCTCTTCGTAGGGGATGCAACAGTTTTTAATTACTTCTACCAGTGTCCATAGATGTCTGTTTCCATATAGCTTCAATGACAGAGTAAGCTGGCCATAATTCAAACACTTGATAGTCTGTTGGGTTTAAAAAAGGGGGGGGGGCTTTATTTTTATTAGTACTGATTTTAAAAAAATAAAGTACTGATTTTCTAAACATTTATAGACATTTCTAAACATATTCCAGCTGTTTTTTTTTTTTAATGTATAAACATTATGTACTTCTGAATATGGGGGATGGTTAGATATTACCAATGCAATATACTAGAATGTTAATGTAGAATTTAGGTGAAGGGTAAATGGATATTCACTAGAAAGTTATTTTAACTACTTGTCTATATGCATATTTTTTATTTTAAAATGTCAAGGGCTGGTGGGAAGACCTTCTGAAAGACACAAACATGTCTTTGAGCAAGTAGAAAGTGTTTATTGGGACAGGTAAAACCTTTTCTTGTGTGCTTCTGCAGATCTTGTCATGGCATCATTTTAGCATGATTGCTTTCACAGTGCAGTGACAGTGACTCGGGGTTGTGACCATGGACGCTAGAGCCACAGTGTCTGGGTGGGAGTCTCTGCCCCTTTATTAAGGGTGTGACCTTGGGCCACTTGCTTAGCCTTTGTGCCTCCATTTCCTCAGGTGTAAAATTGAGGTTATAACTATGACCTACCTCAATATGAACCTACCTAAACAGTTAAAATATTTAGAACCTTCCCTGGCACCTGGTATGTGCTATGTAAGTGTTAATTCATC